TGTGGTCTATACCATGTAAATACAATATGTATTATAAGTAAATGATAGAGCAGGTGGAAGTTCTAGTTGTGCAAATATAGCTGGTAACAATGTAAATAGAGTATTCAAATGAACAGGAGGCCAGCAAGGCAGGGCAGTTGTTTTCAAATAGAGTTGATTCTGTTCTGCTTAAGTATAATGGCCATGGGTGTCACTTCCCAAATGACACCCACACATTTATTTGTGAGCATCAGAATTATGTTGTTTTGCAGGGCAAATGGCACCATCTGGACACTGGAAACAGCACATGCTTGAGGATGTTCTGCCCCCACCCTGGGTAGCTGTAGCAAAGTCTCCTCCCCCTTGAAATGAGCTTCCTTGTGTTTCTCTTTCTTCTGGTCTGCTTGGCTTTCATCTGTTCTCTTTGTCCCGCTGAGCAGGCCGGCAAACCTGCAGGTTCTGTGATCCTGCTGCTCAGCTTTACAACAAAAACAAAAACTCTGTTGTAATTTGTGAACTTTCCCTCTTGGAAGACATAAGCCATCAGCTTTTGGGAAAGCATCTGCTGCAAAGATTAGGGCTTGAAATTATCCAGGAAAATGAATGAGGAGGCAAAGAGAGAGAGTCAGACAGAAGGAAGAAAGGGAGCTCAGGAAGCAAGGAGAGAGGCCTGCCCACCCCCAGTCTGAACCACATATTCAGCTTCTAAGAAACAGCTCTTCCCTACCATACTGGAAAGTGCCAGCCAAGGCATTTCCACCACAGATTCACTACCAAGCTGAAGGTGGCTAGACTTTTTAAAGTGACAGCAACCAAGTCTATCATGGAAGATGTAGTTACTCCCTCCATGCCCTACCTCTCTTCTGGTTAGAGTGTTTTTTTCTCTAACAAACTATGTTTCAATAGCTCTTCTCCCAGCTTCAAAAACAAAACTCCTGCATCCAGGCAAGAGCCTCACACCAGATCATTCAGGAGTGCCTTGCACGAACAGTCTTTATGAGTCTGGGGAATTATTCTGAGAGCTTTGCAGGTATATTCTTCTTTGGCTCCATATACTCTCGAGTGGGTGTATAGCTACATCTGCTGAGTCATGCTCTCTTCCAGACAACACCACAGATGCTGAGCTGCACTGGGATAGCAAGGTGTCATGCCAAGGGAACCTGCAGGAAACCCATAGCTATTCTGCTTGCTGGCAGGGCTTTATGAGTATCCATGTAACAATATTCTGTTTTTTTTCTCATTATTGAATGTTTTCATTTTTCCAAATTCAGAATTCCGTATCTCTCCCTGATTTTTTTCTCTCTGTCTCTCTTGCTCGTTACTCCTTCCCCCACCTTATTCAGACAAATACCCCTTGTATACAATTCTGAGTAGAAATCACCTTTCTGAACCCAGAATTGCACTAGATGAGGTTTCATACACTAAGTCTTTATTGGATCATCAAGAAAGTCATGATGCATTTTTGCATAGAAAAATGTGTCTTTGCTTTCCCAATGGCCTACTAGTTATCTGGCTTATACTTTGTTTTGGATGAGTTTTCTCCAAGATGACCTTCATATCTCTTGCAAATCAATAACTATTTAGCAAGGTCAACAGCTCTGTAGAGACAAAACCAGACATGCACGGGCACAGCCTTGACCAGTTTGGTATCCCTAAAGCCCTCTTAATTTCAGCAAAACTTTCGTCCCCCCCTTTATTAAGTTTCTTTCTTCCATGAGCAAGATCGACAGAAATGAAGAGATATTGCACTTTCAACAGTGACCCAATAACACAATCTATCCCCCAGCCACTGCCAGCCTAGGACCATAGGCACTCGCACTCAAGGAGGCCTCCAGATGCAGATTAGGAACCATTCCATGTGGGTGAGGTCTGCAGAGCAACCCACTCCACGGCTGCACCATTGTCCAGTCCCTGTAGTCCCTTTCATGAATTTCTCCTTTTACTCAATTCCCCCTTAGAGAGGGTGAAGATACGGTTCTTCTACAGACCAGGGCCCTTGGGTGCTTCTTCAGGGTATGGCTTCCAGGGACAATAAGATCATATGCTAGATAACTCTTTGCTAAAGACATCCAAGTACAAACAAATGCTGTTCTCTGACATCCAATAGGAACAAAGTAAGTGGACCCCAAGTCTTTCCTGTGCTTTGGCCTCTTGTCTGGGAGTCTGTCCCCATCATATCTCATCCATCCCCAGAATTGACTGCTTTGAGGATTAATGAGGTCCTGAGTTACATGAAAACAGGTGTTTGCCACAAATGATCCATAAGGATCACCTGTAGTGTCTTTGGCTTCTGCTATTTCATCCTGAGATAGGCTTCCATTTTGGTTCTTGACCAATTTTTTAACTGAAAAGGGAGATTCTTATGCTTGCTTTTGGATCACATCTTTATCTTCTTTTTCTGATTTTTACTGTAGAACTCAGGTAAAGATAACACAGTTTTGCACTTGCTCTCTCTTTTGGGAAAAACTTCTCTATATGCATTGTGCATGGCCTTGGGTTCCTGCTGTCCCCTGGGAAATTCTGAACACTTAATTCACATTGAGCCAA